CTGGCTGAGAGCGCCCCCAGGACAGCAACTCTGACAGATCATGTATTTATAGGTCTGTTGAAAGACCTCTATTGTGTCCCACATAGCCTCAGAGCACGTCTGTCCTCTGTATTATAATAAAGCCGCTGGCCTTACCACTATGATGGATGGGTGGCCCTCGAATGGCAAGCTCCAAAATCATTAGAGCACTCCGAACATGCAGGTCTACCCATGTGTAAGGCTGGTGCAGGGAGGGGTGCAATACCGGTGAGCCATATAGTACAGTTGAGACCTTTTAATCATTTAATTATTAATTCTCAACCCAGAGAGGGAGGGAGAGAAAGGGAGAGAGAGAGAAGGGTTGAGGGAGGGGGCTATAGTTTGCTGATGGTTTTGCCAGAGGAAACATTTGCAATTATCTCAGCGGCGTAAAATGCCCCCCAGGCTTTTTCAATACAGGTTAGAATGGGGAAACCTATAGCACGTATACAGGTCGCCTCTCCAGTCAGATTTCATTGCTGCTGAAAATTTCGCCAAAGCATTCCATCACACCTCCGCTGAGCCATACAGTTTCAGTGTGAACATGTAGTTATGACTGTGCATAGCATATGTATTAGGAGATTTTTGAAAGAAAATAGAAAAGAAAAACAGAAGTTGCTTGAATATGCCCCCCCAACACACACACACACACACGTACACGAAAAAAAGCTTGACTCTTTCTGTGCCTTAAGCCTCACAAGCAGAGTGGTGTTTGAGCTGTTTCCCAATCTCATGTTCTTCTGTTACCTCTGGAGTAGAATATAAATGATTCCCTCTCAGTGTACAGTGTATGCCACGGGGCCTGCAGCGACCATAGTCCGGTCTAAAATTCCTCACTGCAAGCGTACCATAACTCAAGGCCTGACTGATAAATAAACAATGGAAAGTGCAGCATGTTGTGGAGCATTACCTCAAATCCTCCACTTGGAGCACTGTAACATATTACAGCCCAATCTCCATGAGGAAAGTAGAGGGTCTGAAGAAAGTTGTGTGGTGCATATGCCAGATTCATGTATTTAACACCTTTTAAAATCTGTATAAATCAATTATTTGTTATTAAGATGAACATTTATTGATGAAGAATGATTGGGGTACTACTTTAATTTTAATTTTATATGTTTAATTCAATGGAGATAACAAACAAAACATGTGTAAAATGTCTAATATGGCTCGCCTGGTGAAATTACTTCACCAATCAGAGCTTGACCTTTGAGACTTCACATTTTAGCTATGCAGGCAGGCTGGTTAACGACTTTGTACCGGACTCTCCAACAATTAGATGGTTTGCAATAAAATGTATGATCTCCAGTAGATTTACAGTTTTAGTTGTTAGTTAAATATATTGTCAACTATTGGACACAAATTTGGAACAGGTATAGGTCAAGGGGAACGGTGTTCAATCAAAATTGCCGGAAGCATATAATGATTCACATATTGAATGGTTCCCAGATGAGAACTTCAGTGACCGCGTGACATTTCCTCAAGTGCCTACATTAGGTTTACAACTAAAGTTGGTACCAACATTTGTGTCCCTTCAAGGTGAATCGATCAGTCTTTAACTTTTTTCTTTACACGGTCACCAGGTTAAAAATTTAAAATTGCTGAATTAGATAATATTCAGCTGCTCTTTGTGTTGTGATGACACAGTGAGCAAAGATGGGAGACATGACTGATATTAAACGTGCTTATCATCCCCATGTTAGCATTGTCATTGTTGGCTTTTTGTATTTGCTTGTGTTTGTATTTTTAGCTTGAACCATACTGGAAACCAAAAGTAAGGAAATCTCATCCTCCTGTATCTGTTTTTGAAGAATAACAGAAACTAGGCTATTGGGTATTTTTGACTTTATACTTTTTTTTCCAATAGCATCCACCTCAATTTTGCTCTAAGTGTGAGACTGTCCTGCTGTGAAAATTCTTGGAATGGCTGGGTTGACCAAATCAACATGGAGGTTAAATTTATTGGGTTAAATTCTGCTGTACATTAAAAGTACATTATTACAAGTAACAGCTTTCTAATGGAAACACTAGCGACAAGGATTTCTCTTTTGCATGCAACATGCTGCCCAAACAACTTCCAGCCCATCACCCCATTAAACACCAAGACTTGGATTTCTATAAGCAAAGCCACTGTGACATATTATTCTCCCAGCGAGCGTCCTTTTGAGATATTATCCTAATAGCAATTGTCCATCTAAGAACATTTAAAACTCAAAAGACTGTGGAGGCATTCATCACCCAGATGAACTAATTTTTCAACTCGAAATAATGGCTTGAAATATGTGGCCATTATATTATAATAAAGGTATTTATGAGACTTCAGTCTCACACCCTCACTGTGAGATATCTTTGAAAATTTGAAATCAGCTCCTGAGGCTGAGGGTGGGGGAGGAGGTGAGAGAGGGAGAGAGAGAAAGAGAGAGAGAGAGAGAGAGAGAGAGAGAGAGAGAGAGAAGAAATGGCAAGGGAGAGATGTGGGAGTTATGTTTTGCTTTTTTGCCACAGGTTACATTTATAATTATCTTGCTGGCATAAAATAGCCCAGAGGCTTTTTCAATAAAGGTAGGAGGCACCTACAGTGCAGAATATTACCTACAGATCAACACAGAGACAGAAGACTGCAGATAGAATAAGACTAAATCTAGTGTCGAGTACAAAGTATATCATCTAATAAGCGTATTTAGTCAGGACACTCATTAGGAACAGTGGCCACTGCTTGCACAGGGATCTGAGCACTGTGAGGGCTGGTGATTTGAAGACGAGGTGAATGAGTCCATCCACTGACCTTCACTAGTGGTGAGTAAGCAGAGCCTGGGGAGCGAGGGAAAGATGGCCACAGCCGCTTTCTCCAGGCCCTACTCTGCCTTTTGATGACTGGAAATAATCACTGGAGAGAAAGTGAGTGAAAGAGACATGATCACAGACACACCACAGAAAAAAAGGAGGATCTCAAATTACTTCAGTCTCCTCGAAACCCCCTGTCCTCTAAAGGACTGGAAGTGGGTTTCTTAATACAATTCATCTTTTCTCCGACAGGCAGTGTCCTGAGAGAAGGATATCTCTAATTCCTTTTCAAGTCCGTCTGAATCCAGGAAGTGAGAGAAAACAGCGCTGGACCGGTTCTCATTATACTCGGGCTGCCCCACAGGTAAACTCAAAAATCACATAGGGTGCACAAAAAGTACTGCTGAATTTCATACTAAACACATGACCATTTTCTCTTGCACCACCCTTGACAATATTTTTACTGTAGGAATCACCAACCTTGTTAATGGTGCGTGCTGTTTGTCTAGCTAACCAAACTCCGTAGCAGTATTGCAGTCATTTTCAATTTAAAAATAATTGTTAGTGTGTCGTAGTTTAATTTTAGGAAATCGGACTTACTCCCTTTCTTGTCAGAAATGTTAGATTTTTCTCTTGGCGCAACAAAAGTAAACAGTAAACACTTAACTTGGCTGCGTTCGATCCAGGAAATGGTTACACCTGACCAAGACAGAGTCTGGAATACAATTGTTTTAACCATAACCTCATGGTTTTTACACTTAGGTCTTTGTATTCATGAAGCTAACAAGATAGAACATGTTAATCAGTGAGCTGTAGACTAGCTAGGTGCTGGTAGGTGGATTTCGTTACCGTGGGACGAAGTGGTTTCCCTCCATTTTTGAAATTTTGTGTTAAGCTAACCAGCTACTGGCTCTAAAATCATAGTCTTTCTACAAACTTCTCAAAAGCAAAGTAACAGCAAAAGACCTGGTTTGATGATGTCATGAAGTACTGAGGGATTGTGGGAGTTGTTGTCCATTGCTGATAAAAAATCTATCTGACAGGACTCGGTTGCAAATCTTGTTAATGAGGGAAAGTTTTATTCCTGTTACGCAGCCAACTGCAATTAATTTATCTTGATCTATTATGGGTGACTAATAGAAACAGTGGAATTTAAAAACTGTAGATCTCTAACTTGCTAACGGTGTGTTTTTACTTGTCAACAAAATATATATATATAAAAGGCCTAGTTGTTTTTATTGATTAACAAGGATTTTTTACATATAACATCTTTTGACACAAAAGCAAAAAGTGTATTTCCAAAACTATCAAACCATATCTGTATAATTCTCGCAAATTGTTGTTTGTTAGTAGTATTTTGCTCATTTGAAATGGGCATTCACCAAATGGCTTGTGTTCTGGGTTTAATAGAGATATGACTATTCACTTCTACACTTCTCAGTGCTGCTCTCAACTTATTTCTTCCAACTCAAGTGGTTTTTACTGAGTTGATGTGTTTGACACCTGCTCCACGAATACTTACCAATTACACAGACTCAGAAAATTTTGATTTTCATTATTGGGAGCAAAGCATTGCTGTGCACCACTCACATCACACACCTCTTGGATCTGCACCTCTAGCCTATGAGAATAACAGTCAGTCAAAGGGGGAATCTAGGGCAAAGAGGCCTGAAAGGGAGACATATAGCATAAACTGTAGATAGCCAAAGTAAGTGGAGATTCTGCCAAAAGCAATGAAGACGACAGGGCTCCGTGTGGGATTTCACTTTGGATTTTGGCCCTGCAGGGATATGAGGAAGCACTACTGACAGGACTTGCGTGGAGAAGTCATCTCTATTCAATATAACTAAGTAAAGAATGCCCCAAGTCCACACTGATGCACCAGCATAAATCCTCTAAGGTACAATATTGCTTTGGAAAAGTTAGCTCTACCTCTGGTCGTGCAGAGCTAAAACACTACAAAATGTAAGAGTTTGCTTCTTGTTTGCCACTGAACACATTCAGGATGCTCGAAAGAATCTTCAGATAGGGCATGGATGCAGTAAATTCAAGTTTAACAAATGCTATCTAACCAAATGTAGCACAGGGCAAAGACGGCAAATGTGAGAGCAGTCCCTACAGCAATGTGAAAACAGCGAACAGACACCATGACAACTGAGATTGAGATTTATTTCACTTTTTTTTTTTTTTTTTTTACTCAAATCTAGGGAGCGTAGGTGGGTCAGTCATCTTAGAAATACTTTATATCCAACGTCATATCAATATGTGCTACAAGTAAAAGTGATCTTGGAGTGGGTAGTACAATTAGCTTTTAATCTGTTCAGTCATGTCTGAGGCAACAAATTTGTTTTAAAAAGATTCAATGTAAAAAACACAAACACGTACACGATGAAAAAATTTACAGGTCATCACTCAGAGGAATATTATGATCCAATTAATTAATTCCCAAGGGGATAGACGTTCGTACTCCCCGATGAGGCAAATGGTGTGACATAACAATGTACTAAATTATTTTTCTTTACTGCGTAATAATGGTCTTTGATGCTAAATTTTGATGATACTAATGTCAACTTAGTTTTATGGCAAAATCCAATAAAATAACTTCCATTAAGTAAAAAAAAACACTTCATTTGTATCACAATATTCAACATCATGTAAATTGTGAAAAAAGATTTTTGTTTAAAACTGTTCATGACAACTGAGACATTCTGTACTGTAAGCAACACATTAATGACCTTTTTACAGCGAGGGATAAAAACACACTCCCAAACAGCCAATTTTCCAGTGAGGCAACAAAACCAGTCACTGGTGAAAGCTATGCAACATACTACATAAGCCATATAGCCTTTTGTTTTAATTTATATGGGTATAATAGAAATCATATTCAACCTAATGTAGGTTCCAAGTTTTAAAACAAACTTTTTTGGGGGGATCCAGGGAATAGAAATCCTATTTAAATTGGTTTATGGGGGCTAGACAATCACATATGTCCTTGCAATCTCAAACTTATCAAATGTCTTGTATCTTCTTATGGCAAAAAAAATCTCCTGTTGCATCTCTTTTTTTAAATTCTCTAGATGGTTCTCAGTTTAAGAAAACAAAACATCAACAAGGAAACGAAGAAAAACAGAGTCCACAGAGCTCTGCACGGTCGAGCGTTTGGCTGCCACAGAAAAGTCTAGCACCCCCTACTGCTTGGGAGGAATTCTAGTCCAGCTGCTCCTGCTTTATCCTGTTTGAATTGGGTCCTCGCTGACCTGTCCTCCTCAGTTCCCTCCTCAGGACGTACTCGCTGAATTGGGAAGAGTCCACGCCTCCGCCGCAGGAGCCGGTGATCTCGAAGCCACGTTGCTGGAGACGCTCAAGAACCTAAAAAAGGTGGGAAGAAGACGTCAGTGGAAGATAGAGATAATTTCTAATCGTTTATCGTTCATGGTCAGCGTCAACGCTACAAGACAACATAAACTGTCCTTTTGTTGATTACTGCAGAACTGGAAAGCATGGAACAACCTGAGTCTCCTTCAGTTATATGCTGCTGAGTTAGTGCGAAGTCTAGTACTGGAAACCGCTCCGGGAGTAGGCGGCAGCGACATACGGCCTGGGACGGGAAAACCAAGAGCCTCTTATTTCATTGTTTCCTGGTGTATATGTGTGTGTTTGTCTCCCTCTCTTTCCCCTCTCTCCCTCTGTGTGGGTAGCTGTTCCTGATCTTGCAGCCTTGCAGACATCTACAGACGTGTCCAGGGGGGCTGTAGGATCACATTCCATCGAAGAGGCCCCAGGGAGCAGTGCGGTTTTCTCTCTGCCACTTGGCTCAGTGTGGGCTGCTCAGCAAAAAGCCCCTCTCCCCATTTCTCCCTCAGCCCCCAGGCCCAAGCCTCCGCCAAAACTACAAAGGTCCCCCTACTGCTGCCAGCTTTCTATGCACCCCTTCCTTCTCTCAAAAACCCCCGCCCTGCCTCCATTAGCCGCAGATACAGCATCCACCGCCGGCGTGCTTTAATAACCAAACAGGATTATGGGCCCAGCCTGGGGACAACCTGCCAGGGAGCATGCTCACTCTCTTGCTCGCTCTCCACGACTCACACACTTCAGAGACGGGTTTGTTTGTGTGTTTTGAGGGAAAAAGATGGAGATTTGATTTCCTCAGATGGAGACACAGTCCAGATCATTGTGAAATCTTTTTAAATATGCCCCCCCGCCATCATTTATTGATGCTGATCAGAGGATTTCTCCATCAATGAATCAGTGGAAAATCAATATATAATTAGAGAAATACAATATTGCCAAATACACACTGAATATAAAGAAGTTGACAGTAAAATACTTTCTATTTACAGACCTGTATGGTTTGGCCTAGAACCTTTTGCCTTTAAATCTGCTCTATATTGAATAAATTCAACACTGGCCTTAGTCTTTTAAAAAACTAATTTATAGATATATCTCTAAGAATTTAAGATTTCAAGTTATTGTTTTGCTCCCCAGGAAATGACCTACCAAGAAAAACTTTAAAAGTTTTAATCAAGACGGCAACAAAGGATGTTTGCTCATGTAGCAAGACTAATTGCTGGAATTTCTGTCTGGAGCAACTCTTTCTTTGAACTACTATTTTGTAAGAATTCTTACTAAAAGTGTGTTCAACTGATTTGGTTCTCAAATTTATGCTTGTTGATTCACTTGATTTTAAATTGAGTATTGATCCAACAACCCCCTCAGACACTTGGGGGCATCACCTCCTCTTGCCGTCAGAAAGTTTTTTCCTCCTTTTTGCACATTCATGTCACTCTTCATTAGGGTTTAACAATTATTCTAAATATTATCAAAATTGATCATATTGAAATTTCAATATGGTAAAGGTAAAATGTGTCTTAACATTATAATTAGGTGTTACGGTGCTACAGTGATGCCACCACCTACAAATCATATCACATATGCCTGTTTAGTATGGACCTCAGCAAAAATACTATCATTATTTCTTAATTTTTTCCATGAAAATTAAATTAAGAAATTCCTTATCTTGCAATAAAATGATTGCAGTATAATTGTTTTTCAATATTGCTCAGTCTTACTCTCCACCTTGATATAAGATGTTCAACATTCCTTCATTTAATAGGATGAAGTCTACAATCGACCTCTTTACAGTCCATTTTTAGCAGGTTGGCACCAATGCTCACTTAGCACTGACGGTTTCAAACACTCAAAAAACAATTTATCAACAACTATTTTTTTTCTATTCAAACAGACGGCAAGTCGGAAAGATGGGTGGATCGCTCTTTGGACTTGACAACTGGATACAGAAGAAACAGAAGAAGAAACTACTGATGCGGACTATTCACCAGCTGCAGAGTCAAAATCATTATTCCAGTCAGATCACAGAGAAGTAAAGATGGTGCTGGACTTGTGTAATGATGGTTTGCTAAACTGAGGCTTTGATGAACTCATCAAAGAGCTTATTTTTCTGCGAGGCTGTTCTTGTGATTCGATAAGATATAAAAAGATATGATTTTGCAATCAGACATCTGTAAAATTTAAAAAAGTCTACAGCATAACAGCAGATGAAAAGGACCTGAATGAACAGATCATCACTTCAGCCGATTCTTTGGGCGTACGGTTGAATGGAGAAATGTAGAAAAGCACTTTATCTCTACTACTTTACAACTTTATCTAACCTTTGAATTATTATTCTTATTAATGACCCTCCGCCCACAGCAGCCCACAGTTCGTATTACCTGCACAGAGTTGAGGTGGCAGTAACCATTGAGTGGGAAGCGGATGACGTGCGTGGAGTCATGGTTCCAGCCGGCATTGACAGAGTTGCACATGACGTCACCGATCTCCGGGAACACGTCTTCGATCAGGGCCTTGTCACCGCTGAGTGTGATCCTTTCGCCCAGGTCGGGTGCAACACGAACCACCAAGCACTCGCAGGGGCGCGACACCCGGCTCAGCTCCTGGTCCTGACGCCAACGCTCCAGCTCTGAGAGCATGGGCTGCAGCTGGAAGTACCGCGCCTCCTCGTACAGCAGACTGTAGTCCTGGAGGAGACAAGAGAAATATGTGAGTATGGTTTTGAATTTTACCATTTACAACAGGTCAACTTGTGACAAGTTTCTTCAACAACTAATTCTTCTTGGTTTGGGGTTGCTTGGGGGCTTAGTTGTAATTTCCTGCTAACTCTACTGTCCAGTGGCGGATCTGGGATTTTTCTAAATCAGGGGCCATAAAGGGGCCACAGTTTACACAGTTTTCAGTTGGGGCTGGTTCCCTCCTGGCCCTGCCCCTTTATACGCCCCTGCTCTTGTATACTATAGTAGGTCCAACATTACTAAATTTCTAATATCAGTATACTGGGTGCTTTATCAATGCTAAAAATACTATGCTTATTAAAACACGAAAGGCTGTATCAATTAATATATCATCAAAATGCTATAAGTAATATTTAGAATGATTTTGTTGGCAGGAATGCTCCTTAAAATTTTCCTGCAATAACTTTCTCATGCGAATATAGATTTCAGCTGAAAGCTTATAACTAAATGCAGCTTGCAGTACATCTTGATTATACCACAGAACAAAATAACCTAAATAATTGAGTAGGTTTAAGGTTGTGAGTTCCTTTCCAAACCAAAAAAAGGGAACAACAGAGGAGTTTGAAACCACTGTTCTACATGAATGAGCAATAAACCCTAGCCAAGACACCATTCAGCAAAAATTACATAAAATCCTGAGCAGAGGAGATGTAGTGCGACATGTAACACAGGGTTGCGTGGGGTAGAGGAGGAGATCCTTTACCCGTAGCACTGCAGGGCCTAAAATCGCATATTCAAATTTTCTCATGCTCCTCTCAAGATCTACCCAATGTGAACATGACCTTAGCCTGAACTTGAGCCTGTCTTTTGTCTTTGCTTATTTTAGCTGACATACTTTCCCCTGATTGAGTCACACTGTGGGCAGTCCATCAGATAATGTGGTTATTTGTTTTCTCCCAGGGCAAGTTAAGTAATTACTGACTAAATGTAAGAGTAAAAAAAGAAAGAATGCTAATGTGTCACATACAGTGAGACTCACCCTGGATGGACAATTGGCATGTGAACATAAGGCGGTGGGGAAATGTAGCACATGCAACGTGGCCATTGGTGCTGCATCGTTTATCTGCTCGTCTTAGTTCAAGCTTGTTACTCCCCTTACATATCTCAAAGAATCTTTGGCTGCTAATAGCTGGAGGGGGGCCGAGGCGCATCCCGTGATGAGTAAATGCATCATGATTGAGCTTTGTTTGGAGGAGCCCTCACATTTTGTCTCCAAAGCCTGGGAACTGTTTTCAGCGATTCTAGGAGGGCCGGTGACCGAGGGCGCTCCACGGCCTTAGCATTCATTGTGTGTGCCAAGTTGCAGGAGTGCTGACTGGCTGATGGGAATTTACAGTTTTCTAGGATGGACAAGCACTCACTTTGAAGTCATCTGGGATGAGGAGCTTGGACGTCCTGAGGAAGTTGAGGATGTAGCGGAACATGTGTCCATCCCTGTCAATGAAGTAGTGCTGCTTCAGGCTGTCCAGGACTATAGGCTCTGTGCCATCAAAGAGGCGACCAATTCTACCCACAGAGACGGGAGGGGGTGGCAGGTTAGGCAGAAATGGAGGGAAGAAGGGAAGAAGGGAGAGGGACAAAATATTATAATTAATAATAAAGTTCATAACATTGATCATTGCATTATTTAAAATACAATCTCAACTCTGGAGCTTGTTTCCTGAACCTTGTGTAAAGAGAGAGAAGGAATAGAAAAAAGAGAGAAGGTCAAAAATGTTACTGTGAAGGAAGAGGATTTGCAAAGGGGTGTGACGCACTCAGTTTTCTCACGCTCTGAAATATTTTTCACACCTTTGCACAGACATGCACGCATTTCCAAGCTCGATACACAAATCAACCGGAAACGAAGAAAAAAAAAAAAAAAAAAAAAAAAAACAGGCAGAAGGAAAGATATGAAAGAAGAAATGAAATGATTAAGAGCAGAGGTGGTCTTGAGAGGTCAGGGCCAGCTGGTAGTTGGTTGCCCTAGGCAGGGTGCCAGTCACCCTCAGGCCTGAGCTTGGAGCGACAGCGCGGCCTCCCAGCCTCCAGATGGCCCCATGCCCTTTGGCTCTTTTACTGCTGCTGTGACATCTGTCAGAATAACCAATTTTGCTTTTGTCTGAGCACTGCACTTGAAGCCCCTACAAATTGTTTACCGATCAAAATAACTGTGGGCTTTGCTTGACAAGGAGACATTTTGCGGTACAGCCTGATCAATCCTACAGCGACTGATAAAGAGTATCTGTCGAGATTTTACTGGAGAAAAACCTCCAAAAAAGTGCAAATGCAACCATGAGGTAGTTTGGTGATTTGAAGAGATGTTTAATGGACTAGACTCCCTATAAAACACAGAATCTGTAACAGTTTAATTTCCTAATTTGAAAAAGACAGCATGATATTAGACACAAACATTCACTCATGGCCAAAAAAACCCACAAACTTTATTCCCACTACACACAAGCATGGTAAATCAGACTCACCGGGATTCTGGGAATTTCGTTAAGGTGGCCAGACTGCTGGTGTACATGTGTCCGCCCACATCGATGTGCACAGGGGCATTGGACTTGGTGAGCTGTGCAGGTGTGGGGATGCCCTGGTTACTCAATGGAGACACTGGTGACCGTGTGATCATGGGCCTGGACATGCTGGAGCGATTATCCTGTTTCAGACATCAAGAGGGAGAAAACACTGTGACGCGTGTAGGTTTGATTGATGGAGGATGAGATGTTGAAAATCAGAGATAAACAGACGCTGGAGTTTATTATTAGGATTTGAAGTGTTTCGATTCAGAATACTTTTGCCCTGTAACACACTCAACAGTCAGAGGACTGCAAGGGAAGATTTTTCTCTGCAAGTTATGGAGCAGCCTGACCTTGACCTGAATGTTGCCACTCCTGTGGGCCATAACCCCCCAAAACCAAATTAATTTGGATCATCAATCTTGGAAATGAGCAATAATGACTCTTTGATTTGAATACTGTAATAGGATTTGGAGACACAGCCTCCTGTTAACCTACAAACACCATTAGCAGACAATCTCGGTTGAGCTTTGACAAGAAAATTACTTCAGCCCCCACAACCCCAACAAAAGTTTCACACATTGAGTGAGGATGGGAGAAAATAGTGATGGACACCTCATCTGCAGAGGATTACAAACATTTGCTTGAGCAGATCTCAAAAGCAGCAAACGGACTGTGCGTAATATTGAAATAACGTGCGCAATCTGCATATAAGGAAATCAGGGACACGATCTCCTGAATTTACAAGCAACCCACAGTGTCTTCACGTCCCTCCTCCGGCAGAAGTGACAGGCAGACCCCACTTTTTCATTCATTTCTGCTTTTCCCCCCCTCCCAGTCTCCCAATACCTCCCGGACTATATCGGACTTTTACGCGTTTACCTGCGCAGGCATCACTGTGTTCGGAGATGGAGTCACCGAGTGGTCATTCTGCTTGAGAGACGCAGCGGGCACCGGCTCTCCTCTGACGCCGTACATGAGTGCAGGCTCCCTGCACTCAGCCGCCGCCGCTCGGATCGGGAGCCGTTTGAGGGACGCGTGCACGGACTCATCCGCAGAACTGATTGGACGTGGCCGCTTCCTCGCTTTCTGATGGGTTAAGTCCATGATATCCGTTTCGTCCATTTGCGCGCAGACTTTGTGGTGAACAGATATGACGCGGTCGGCTTCTTCTTGTGTTCTTTTCTTTTTCTCTCGCTTTCTTCTCCTCTCCACCACCGAACAGAACACCTGCCAAATGTGTGGAGAGAGGGATGGATGCGTATGTAGGCAGCACCGGGGGGGGAGAGAGCGCGCAGAGCCGTGGCTGTCACGCGGAGCAGCGTCTTTGCAATGGCTGGGAGAAGTCAAAGCCCCCGACAACATTAGCATTGTATCGCCCGCGGCTCTTTTGGGGCTGTCGCTGTTTCAGTGGCAGGTATGTGTGTCGCATTTTCGGGTTAAACCAAATGCAGCCTCGAACAATGTGCGTGTGATCGTCTGGCTGTGTTATAGTCGGGTCAGCGCGCAAATCTGGACCGTCCACATCTGGCCTTTGCCCCCTTTTGGAGCGGTGCAGTTTAATCCCGCAGCTCAAATCCTCCTTCATCACAACAAAACCCAGTGATCAAACCCCAAACCGTGGCTAACCCGCTCAAACACCTGGACAAAACTGTCCCTTGTGCCCACTCATCCACAAAACATACATATCATTCATAAGTCACCAGACATGATCTCTCCAATCAAACAAAAGCCCCTGTGATAGTGTTTTCACTCACACTGATGCACTTTGAATGATAAGTCCAAAAAACACTCTTTTCATCATTTACACAGAATATTAATAACACAAAGAAACATCACATCTGAAGTACCAGATCACATGCGCCCAAAACATCTGCCCCTCAGAGGAGACAGAGGGATCAGTCTCTCCTCTGCTAGACAAACGTTAAGTTACCATAATAACTGATGACCACATCAGCAGAGCAAACCCACCACGCTAATGACATCATGGAGTATAACACCAGAGCAAAACATGTCCTATTGCTGTCAGAAAATACTGCCACAGCACTCTGCCGGGCTGTTTTCATAGAAAATGCAGGGAATCCACAATTTTTAATAACATTCAGATTAAAATTAATTAGTTCAACCACTGGCCTTAAAACATCCACATTGCTGCTTCTCATTGGCAGTGTGAGTTTCACACCTAGATACCCAATTAGCAATTAAGCTTGCCTTTGAGTGTAGGCCTCCAATGCGGTGTGTGATCCTGGTCTGATTTGCATGCCGCTTGTGCACGCGCTGATAAGCACAGGCAGCAGCCATACATAGTTTTAAAATTCAACTCCAGAATCCCTCGCAGAAGGCAAAGGGGCCTGCAGGGCAAAAGAGAGAGAAATCACATGGCTGCTCTTCAAAAGGGGACCTGTGTAAGGCAGCCGGCAAAGTGCGTGGGATCACACTCAGAATGCAGGTAATTTGTTCCCTGACTAATTTGTGGAGATGGTGGTGTGTGTGTGTGTGTGAGAGAGAGAGAGTGTGTGTGTGTGCCTGTGGAGAGTAAGTTCTGAAAACAGCTTGGTGGAATTGGATTTCCTCAAAGCCTTGTCATCGCAAAGGTGGATTGAGTGTAAAATCTGTAAGGCATTATGGAAAATTGCAGGGGAGAGAGAGAAGAGCGGGTGAAAGAGAGCGGGTGGTTGGTTTTGGGAAACGTGTTCTTGTATCAGAAATCTTCCAGAGCTGGTGGATGTAAAGACAACACAAGTTTGTCGGCCTTTTCTTTGACCAACGTCCACACATCTCTGGTTTTTACACTTCTATCTCAAGGACAGTTCAAAGGTCACAGCATCACAGGGTCCATCAGTGGGGGTGTGATGCAGGACTTGTGTATCTGTGATCGTATGAACACTGCAGATCCTTTTTTCCTCTGTTCCTACCTGTTGCCATTTTGCATTTGGCACAGAGCTATACAGATCTCCCATGTGACCAGTCAGAATATATTCATTCAGGGCATTTGCACAACCACATCTTAATCAGACACACTGCGGATATACTTGGGTTCTTCCAGATCCCCCTGTTGTGTTCCGCCAGTGGGCTTTCAGTTACATGCCTATGCAAAAATCACAATTTTCCTCCTGTATATTTTAAGAAACACACACCATACTTCCTGTTTGATGTCTAGTATAACACAGGCTATTACCCTGTAAGTAAATATCCGTCTGTCATTGAGATAATCTAAAGGGCCCGTTGAGTTTGGCCTATATACAACAAAACTATGGCTATCAAATGTTTTCGTCCCACAACGCAGCTCTTCAGTGTTTCGACATATCGCACAAGACACAATTAGCATTTCAGATCAGAGCATTAACATTCAGTTTGAGGCAGGCAGACTGGTATTTACATAATCTGGATGGGTTGTCTCTGCTTTGGTGCCCACGGCCATTTGTTTCAAATGTCCACACACAGACAACTACAGACTGCGGGTTAACTTCAGTCACTGTCGACTGGACGGGAAAAAAAACAAAACCGGTTGGGAGGCTGTCATAACAAATAGGCCTGAGTATAAACTGTAGGCTTGTGGTCTGATCAGGTGTCTGTAACTTTACTTAAATGGATTTTAGTCAATATCTAATCAGAATAGTTTGTGAATATAATAATCTAAACTTCTAAAACACTCTGGATGTCATGTTTTCTCTTCTCACGCTGTCATTAAGTCCGGAATTTTAGCAGTGATCGTATTTTGTTTAAGTTGAGACATAAATGCATTTTATGAATGAACTTATAGTTTGGTGAGTATAGTGATATGTGTAGTAACACTGCCAGTGGCTTGAATGATGTGAAGTCACATCATAAAGCCAGCTGTGCTTCTAAAAAGCATATTCCTCTATAAGTGCAGGATGAAAAAGCAAAAATGTGATGGAGGTTAAAAAAAACAGTTCGCCATTAAGTGAAAGGATGAAAAGTTTGCTCTGAAGAAAAGCTGCAGAAAGAATAGGTTGACCATGCTCCTTCAAGTGAAAATATAATATCTGGATAAATCTGTGGCTGCGGATCAGATTGATCCAATCTTTTTTTCTTTTGGGCGAATCAACAATGTGATTGGACTTCCAAACAAACTCATACAAAGTCCATCATATCACAGCGGTACTCCAGTATTTATTCAACTCAATAATATTTCCCTGAGTTTTATCACAAGTTGCTCTCCTCCTCTTTGTAGAGATACTGTAGCGGTGACCTCACAGATAAGGAAGTGTGATCCACGTCCTGATGCTGCAGGGCTGTTGGAGACGGTGGTGCACGTTCACTGGCACAGGCTGAGCTCTCCCAGGGCACAGGAGTGGCCATCAAATAGGAAACGCTATATGAAACATAATAACGGCAGTTTCTCTCCGATGAGCTCCAATTTAGTAAAGCACCTCTAATTTGGAGCTGATGGTGCAGCGCTGATGTAATGTGGACTAACTGATGTGCCTTATTAATATTTGTCTCCTGCACCAGATCAGTCTGTTTGCTAAATGTAATTTTAATGGGAAACAGATGTCCAGATGCTGTATGTACAGTAAAGTAGTGTGGCTTTGTTGCTACAGCGCCATCAAGTGTTGGGTCTGATCAACACCCCCCCCAAATCTCAGTCTCACTGTTTTCATGCGCCCTGTGAAAGTAGTGGAACCTACTCTGGATTTCATTACAAGTGAAACTCAGAAGATTTTATTTTCGTAATGGTTCATTTTAACATATGTAATTTAAAGGCTGATCCAGTGCAGTACAATACAGTGAGAGACACAATCAAATTCAAGTAACCAAATACACAAATATAGCTTTACTTAGAATGTCACATACATTTTAAAAGTCTAACTTATACAGAGAAGTGTGTCTTTATTGGCGCAACACATTGCCAGGTGTGAGAAATACGTCCAGATTGTTACTTAGTAAACTACATGTATTTGCCGATCCGCACCCGGACACAGGAGTTGATTACGCACGACGCGGCCAGAGAGCCGAGAGAAAAGAGAAGAGAGGGGAACGAGAGGACGAACATTTTGCTCCTAACTCCATATTTACACAAATACATAATTCCCCTCAACACAGAATCGGCCTTGTATTAAAGGATGATTCACCGATTCTGCATTGACGTGCGCAAAAAAGCTACATCGTGTCGTACGGAATAAGAAAAAAAAACGCCCGCGGCGAAATTACTCCACAATGGCGTCTTTCATTAGAAGATCTGGGGCAGCCAGGAAGCAGAATAGTTTCACGACAAAATCGACTTGACAAAGCGATCGAGGCGACGACAAAACGCAGGTTTCAGTAAGTTAGGAGCAAGTTACACAGCTGCACGGAGACGGCGACGGTGTTTCGGAGCCGAAATGCGCCAGGAGCGAATTCACACGGTGGATAAGTGGAGCGTTTTCCCCCCCGACAAGATCGCTGCCTAGTCTGTTGTTCGTTTCGTCGAATGTACCACAGCCTCGTATGTTGTACACACACGCATACATTAGTACAGTAACTAAGGAACAATAGCCAGGAAGTGGTTAAATATTTTTTAAGAACTGTACCGCTCGAATCGCTTTGGCACATGCGTAAAAGCGGCTGCGCCTCTGTGTCCCAGTCCATCCAGCCTCGGAAATAATAGCAAAGCAAATAAATGTCCGCTTACCTGAAACATGGAGCGGCATAAAAGTGTCTTTTTATGCACCTTTTTCCCTCCGATTTGGCCACGATCTGCCTCTCTTCCTACACCAGTGAGAAATGCAATAGCTTGGCTAAGGTAGACAGAACAAAATACAGAGAATACTTGCTCCAGGGCTCCGAAACCCCTCAAGGCAAAGATCAGGATACAATTAGCTCATGTCTCTGCCCCAGTCTAAACCCATTTTCAGAATAGAAAAAACTGCGAGCAAACAGATCACAGCAGCAGCGGCTGTGCCTCAGTCTTTGTTGAGTTTATGTTTTTTTATAAAATCAAATAAAGAAATCTTTTTTTTTTCTGCATTTACAACACCCTCACTCCTCCTGCCTCCAACTTGCCTATTGCCTCCCTCTCGCAGAGAAGCTGATTTTAATCGTTATGATTAGTTTTGATGTAACGTTCCCTCGGGCCATTTCTACAAATGGATGGAGTGTTTCTTTCCCAGGGAGGAAAAGCAGCAGATGATGATAATTATATAGATTGTTGGTGGAGCTTTTTTGATTCCCCCCCCTCTCTCTCCTGCCTCTCAAAGCCTCATCCAGTCTCCTTTACGCACACACTCCATGGGCATTAGGCAACTTGTTGATTAACCAGGAATCAACTTTTTCCTTCCTCTAAATTAATGGAATGTGCTTCATGAAATTCTCACTGTGTACTTTCTCCTTTGTGATCT